TGTACAGTCGTTGTGTGTGTTAAAGTAATTTGGGTTAATACTATTGATCCTATTCATTGTGACTTTCAAACGATAGCTGATGTTGTATTGGTAGCGCCATCACAACATCTTTCAATACTTTGGGTATTTATACCCCAAGTATTGCACATTTTTGCAGTCCATCCTAGTAGCACCTACTACATAGTAGTACTTGTACTGACAGTGCAACTAAAACCAGTCTATTACACGAGCCCAAGGCGAAGAACCCCTGTGACCACTATAAATTTTATCACGCGCGAATACCCCAAACGAAGGCCACCATTCGTATTCTCTTCAAAAGCCATCGAGTGAACACTACAAACGCTATACTACGAACTCCACTAAAAGGGGAGCTTAATTTATTATAGAGCGTTGGATCGATGGTGAGCGGCCGTTAGAGACGCTGCATAGTCACAAAGGTAGCCATAAACAATAGTATTCGACCAACGCAATCAACGAGGCCTTCGCTACGGGGCAAGTACGAAGGGCGTTAACCATCGATCAAAACGGCGCCGCTCGCGTTGGGTGGGGGTGGTCAGCTGGAACGTCCACCCAAGTTGATCAGAGCTCATAGATGTACAGACTGTATTGGTACTCCGATTCTGGTGCCGAGTGCGCTGGCTACTTTATACCATTCGTCGTCGCAGACTGAAACAGCTATTTCGATGTACGTGAGCTTCATTTTATGTTAGACACTCCCAAAAACGTTCGCGAGTCTCTCGGCAATTCGATAGTTGATTCCTTTGAGCGTCCCATCGCATCGTGAGGCCACCCAATCACTCAACTTCAAGTAACGTTAGTCCATTATTGACCCAAACTTGTCGCGATCGACTGGTGTCAAGCCATCCATTGACATGGCGTTCCAGTGCGTAGAAATATCAGCACCCCCGTCAAATGAGCGTCGAGTCCAGGTCCAAGGAGTTCGTACTCGTCGCCCCCTTCTGGCTTCCATTGCCCAGATCCCAACCACGCGTGAAAGTGCATGCCTTCCCCACGTATTAACAGCATATGTTTGGTCGTTTCTAAGGTCGTTGGTGCCCAAAAGACAATGTTAGGTTGGTTGTTGAGGTTTCGTCAAATTCCACCTTCGAACTCGGTCACTTTCTTGTCACACGCAGTGAAGGTGATGGCTGCTTCTTGGTCCGCAGATTCCATCGACGTTGTCCAATAACACAAGGTGAGAAATGAGTGAAAAGTGAGGAATATTATGGAGACTTTCCAACGAATGTGATGAGTCTATATGACCTGTTGTATCTACGATATATTTGACTGAACTCGCGCCAGGTTGATGAGTCGTTAGCCAGTTGATACTGTTAATTCACCCATAAGTTACGTAGTTTTAGATTATTTCTAGGCGTTGACCATGATTACACGTCCACATCACAATTGATTGCTTAGTGTTGCTCCTCCTCAATCAATACATCCACGACTGCCTGCGTAGAAGTCCACAGTGTCACTCAGCACGTCCTTGTCACTAACCAAATACGGCACGCACAAGTTCTTAGACTTCTTCAAATAATGTTTAATGAAATACCGCGCAGTGTTGAAGCGACTGTACACGCCTGGCTTGTTGAGGTCGCCACCACAGCAAAGCCCCAACTGACCACCCTCACCAAGCGAGCGACGCCGTTTTGTTCGTAGGCCAAAGGTTCCCCGAGTCACCTTGACACGAGTCTACCTCCGCCAGCCCCCCAGCGATCATCGTCGTGTTGTCCACCTTAATGGGCTTCAACGCAGCCGCAGCCTGGGCGTTGTCTCTCGTCTATAGTACTTGCGACTGGGAGCCCCCCCCCCGACGCCCCCGTTCGCCCCCAGCCCAAACTACACGCGAGCACATTCGCAGGTACGGTCTCAATATAATACCAATACATGATGGATGGTTGTGACAGTGTGGTCCATGAGGAGGTTGGCCACGTCGCCCCAGTTCGTCGCCGTGGCCTATTTATGGTGCGGGATCTCCTGGGTGATTTTAACGGGCACGCCGTCACTTGAGCCAGTCAGAAAAGTCGGCCCATACACACTTGCATGTGCCGTCGTCAACATGACATTGGGAGCGATCAAACTGTCACCGCAGATGGACCTGCCAGTGGCCGACGTCTTGAGTTCAGTCAAGTACAGGGGTGCTGACCAACTGCAGCCTCGTTGCCGCCAAGGATTAGCTGTCGGAGGCGACTTCGTCTTGGGCCAAGGCGGCAATGATGGTGAGAACGATCGCAAATTTCATGATAGGCATTACAAAATGAGTGTACAGTACATGTGCCATAATGTGGTTGAAAATAAGTTCAATGGACTTATACTAGAGAAGTCAGACTGTTGTTGCGCTTCATATTATCTGAGTACAGCACCAATTCTCGTGCAAACCCAATAATCGTGGGGCTGGAAATGTGGAAATGCTCACGACTGTATCATGCCAGCCGTGTCGTGTGTTACAGAGTCAACAACACCCACATATTCCGGAATATGTGCTGTAAATCAAGCAAGTCCCAACCATGAGGGTCTAATTGATCAACGACTAAACTCCGCCGTAGAACTGCAGTGGTGTCATTCATCAGGGGCTTATTAACCGCCATACTTCTAACAAATGACCAGTGACCCTTGTTACCTTGGCCATACTGTAATGTTCCGCCAATGCAGTTATCGTTTTGAGCATTGCGATAAGAGACACTGGGCAACGCTCATCCCCAAGAAGGCTTAAAAGTGCAGCTGGATTGTCATGGCTGAGGTTTACGATGGCGCTGACTTCCTCAAGGCCTGTTGCCATTGGAATAACCAGTCACAAAGGTATACTTCAGTACTCTAATTGACACCATGGGGATGGAATTAAGCCCTGGGACAGAAGACTTAACGGCCAACTGCCCTCAATGTCCAAGTCACCCAAAGTCGAAAGAACGGGCCCCCAAAGTTGTTGATACGAATATCAAGTCGACACTTTCTGTGATGCATATAGCGTCGTCTACCTACCATCCCAATATCGAGTTTCAACATCATTAACCCAATTACACAAATATACAATGTACTACAGAATATCTAGTTTCCTCCTTCAAGGGCGGACACAACGTCGCTGTCCACCACATCGTCGGCCACGACCTCTTCCGAAGCTTCGACGTCTTCCCCGACCAAGTAATGCACGCGTAAGTTCTTCTTCTTCAAGTACGGCTCGATGAACGACCGAGCAGAGCTAAGACGACCGTACACGCGGGGCTTGTTGAGGTCGCCGCAGCCGAGGCCCCAGCTGACCACCCCCACGAGGC